GAATGGGCGGACCAGTTCATAGCATTAATGCCTTTGTCTTGCAGGAACTGCTGACACACTCCAGCCACATGAGGTCTTGCATTGTCTTGCATTAGGAGGAACCCAGGGCCAACCGCACCAGCATATTGTCTCACAAGGGGTCTGAAGATCTCATCTCGGTACCTAATGGCAGTCAGGCTACCTCTGGCAAGCACATGGAGGGCTGTGCGGCCCCCCAAAGAAATGCCATCCCACACCAATACTGACCCTCTGCCAAACCGGTCATGCTGGAGGATGTTGCAGGCAGCAGAACATTCTCCACGGGGTCTCCAGACTCTGTCACGTCTGTCAGATGTGCTCAGTGTGAACCTGCTTTCATCTGTGAAGAGCACAGGGCTCCAGTGGCGAATTTGCCAATCTTGATGTTGCCAAAAATGTCAAACGTCCTGCACGGTGTTGGGCTGTAAGCACAACCCCCACCTGGAGTCTGTTTCTGATCGTTTGAGCAGACACATGCACATTTGTGGCCTGCTGGAGGTCATTTTGCAGGGCTCTGGCAGTGCTCCTCCTGTTCCTCCTTGCACAAATGCGGAGGTAGCGGTCCTGCTGCTGGGTTGTCACCCTCCTCCGGCCTCCTCCACGTCTCCTGATGTACTGGCCTGTCTCCTGGTAGCGCCTCCATGCTCTGGACACTACGCTGACAGACACAGCAAACCTTAGCTCCACAGCTCGCATTGATGTGCCATCCTGGATGAGCTGCATTACCTGAGCCACTTGTGTGGGTTGTAGACTCCGTCTCATGCTACCACTAGAGTGAAAGCACCGCCAGCATTCAAAAGTGACCAAAACATCAGCCAGGAAGCATAGGAACTGAGAAGTGGTCTGTGGTCACCACCTGCAGAACCACTCCTTTATTGGGGGGTGTCTTGCTAATTGCCTATAATTTCCACCTGTTGTCTATCCCATTTGCACAACAGCATGTGAAATTGATTGTCACTCAGTGTTGCTTCCTAAGTGGACAGTTTGATTTCACAGAAGTGTGATTGACTTGGAGTTACATTGTGTTGTTTGAGTGTTCCCTTTATTTTTTTGAGCAGTGTATATACAAACACACTTTTATTTAAAGGTTTACTTTTTTTTGTCTTGAACAGATTATTATTCATGATTTTATACATAATGCTCTATTTTAGAATGCTAAGAAAGTTATAGAATTAAATAAACGTCACTTTTTACACATTCCTATTTAATAGCACATTTAAAGGAACACTACAATGTAAGAAAAACAAAAATTAGGAATATATAGACAAGATGCATTCACAAGCCAGATGCTTATTCAATCCATCATGCTATTTTTATATATCCATTGAGTACTGTTTTTTTACAGGCTATATATTATGAGTCCCAAAGAAAGTAAATATAGATCAGCAGATTTATCGACCAACACAAATACAGGAGTTTTAGTGATCAATGGAACCTTAAACTCTTCGATTAACACATGGATAAAATGCATTATTGATGCAGTAAAGCATATATATTCATTGCTGTTTCCTCTGAATAACAGAAACATTTTGAAATACTCTGGGCTCAAACCAGTGGATATGGTACATCATAGACGAAATGGAGAAATTAAAAACAAACATTCTTACAGGACACTGGACACTCATGTCAAACGTGAACACTGGCTACCTTCTATGTATCATCTGTCATATGTCATAGCTATAAAATATTTATAATTTGTCTTTATATATTTTATACATGAAAAGTTTATATTAGACTTTTTTTCACAGAATGGCAACTTATATTTTAGTGTTAAATGTTTTCCCAATTCCCTTGTAGAATCCATTGATAAATTCAGAGTGGGTACAAACCATTTTAAATCAGGAAAAATAAAGGTTAAATAATTTTTTCTTCTACATATTATACTCAAAATGTGAATATGTTTATTCATAAAATGTATGTATTTATAAAATATTTTAATAGGAAGGATACATTGAGATTTCTCTTGTTTTTAAAGGACCACTATAGGCACCCATACCACTTCCGCTCACTGAAGTGGTCTGGGTGCTAGGTCCCTCTAGTTTTAACCCTGCAGCTGAAAACATAGCAATTTCAGAGAAAGTGATATGTTTACACTGAGGGTTAATCCAGCCGTTAGTGGATGTCTCACTGACAACTGCTAGAGGCCACTTCCGCGATTCTCACTGTGAAAATCACAGTGAGAAGACGCTGACGTCCATAGGAAAGCATTGAGTAATGCTTTCCTATGGGCGGTTTGAATGTGTGCTCGGCTCTTGCCGCACATGCGCATTCGGTGCTGACATCGGCAGGAAGAGGCGAGATCCACAGTGCCGAGGGAGCCTGGCGCTGGAGAAAGGTAAGTGGCTGAAGGGGTTTTACCCCAAGTTTTTTTTCCTGGCACTATAGTGTTCCTTTAAGTATGTATGTATCTATCTATGTATCACAGCTGTGTAAAATCCCAACCTGCAGTGTGTACTCCCACAGAAAACCTAAGAATGTATTACCAAACCTTGGAATGGTGGGTCTTAACGTCGGTCAGAAAAGAATAGTCAGAGAATAGCCAAAACTATCAGGATGACAGAAATCAGGAGAGCGATACACGAATAGCAGGGTCAGGATACCAGAAGGGAGATAAGTCAGGATACAAGCCGACTCAGGAAATCAGAGAACAGAAGTGTCAATAGCAAAGCTGAGTTAAATAAATAGCACTAGAGGGAACTTTAAGAACCACAATAGGGCACAGAACAAACCAAGAGGTGCCCTTTTATATGGGAACCTCTTTTGCTTTACGGTCACACCCCCGAAACGTTCTTAACCAGTGAATATGATGCAGACCCGCATCATCGACGTAATGAAGTTGATGTGCATGCATCATATCATAAGAAGAGTGTGATTGTAGCGTCTGGTATGGGACATTCCGATCCGCCTGTGAGAGAAGTCGGCGTCGGGTGCCGCACCACGTTGTGGCGCTGAAGAGAGGTAAGAAATCGTGACACTATGTATGTATGTATCCATCAATAGATAGATAGATAGACAAGTAATTCAATGATAATAGCAGTGAGGGCAGCAGCGAGGAAGAGTCAGCCATTTGGGCAGCCTGCATATTTCATCATTAAGCATCATAAAGCATAATTAAGCAAAACGTAATGTTTGTTTAGTGCCCTCTTCCCATGTTCACATGATATAAAGTGGGATAATTTCCACATTCCTAATTATAGCATATATTTGTCTGATCACAGCTCGACATGCACATAGACAGTTTAACAATGGGTGGGACGGTCTTTTTTCTCTTTATGGCACCTGTCTAGCTCATCAAAGTATTATATTACACTGTTAGCAATGACTTGAGCATGACTGCATTTCAACTTGATTTTTTTTTAAATTGGATGTAAAATTAGAAAGCATTGTTGCACCAAATCTCTTTGTTTTTGTAACCCATTAACATGCAAGATTAAAAGAACTGTTATTGTATCTTGACTGGATGCACTGGGGTGTGTGTTAGATAAAGTAATTGTTTGTTGTGTCATTTACAATTGAATAGAATGGTTTGTATGGGCTGATTGTTTGGAATGTGCCGTTCTTAGCGTGAAATGTTGCAACATTCAATTTAGTCTCTAACCTGTGGCATTCATTTTGAATAAAAAATAAATTAACAATTCTTGCCAATATGTTTCCTTGGCTGTATAATTTATCTAGGAAACCGTTTCGTGTTAGATTCCTATTGCCGAGTATTACAGAGGATCTACCAGGCTCTGCAGGGAATGGCTTAATTATTGGAGCAATATTAAATGAAGTTTTTAACAAGTCTTTATATTATTTATGGTTTCATTCCTGAGTCTCCAGGTTTATACAGCCAGTGTCTCCTGGGCTGCACCCAGCATTTTGTAAAGCAAGATACAGAGAACTAGGTGAAGGGTAAGGTAAGTCTGGTCATAAGGGAAGCAGAACATTAAAATAGATAATGAAAGTTCCGCAGAAGATAACCCTAAACAGTGAAGCACAAATGCAAAAATGGAAAGATAACTTATTTAAACTTGCATCATACATAGCAGTTAAAACCGTATTACTATCTCAAGGTGGGGGCAACTACAACCCAAAGCAGACATGTTTGAAGCACTCTGTGCAAGCTGTGGAAATTTACCCCAAAGTTAGCTTAGCTAGATAGGAGCAGGATAAGGGACATATTGAACGCTTATGAGACTATCCATTATGCCCTTTTAGTGGGTAGGACAAAACTACATATCCGGAAGACTCCATTTCGGCAGAAGTACGTCACGTGAAGTGGCGCGATGCAGAAATCTGGAAGATGAGAACATGTCACAGAAAGTGACGCGACGCATGGAGAAGCCTCGATATGGAAGATGGAGGCAGTCCACAACTACACCATATTTGGAGGGGTGGATATAGGCTCGGAAACCGGCTCGGAAATCCGGTTCAGACCATATTTGGGTATGGAAGGGCTTTGTTCTGATTGTCTGCAAGTGGGTGGCTAATTGTTTAATTGCCAAATAGGCTATATAAAGAAATGTATACTAAACAGCCATATATCTGCACCTGAGGAAGATGCAACTGGGGTCGAAACATGTAGTGCTTGTGAGAAGAGACTGTGTGGCACTCCAGTAACTTTCCATGTAAGGATTTTTATTATAGCTTTAATAAATGTTATTGATTTTATTATAACTGGAGTTGCTTTTCTTTATATCATTTCCCTCTGAGGATCAAGATCAACCGTATCTGGATTGAAATTCATCCATTACACTCTTAAGCTGATATACGTGAGCCAGTTATCCCAACAGGCTCAATAAAATGTGAGTGTAAATTCATGAGGATACTCATTATTTGTATCACTGTGTTGCAGTATGAGTTTTTCTCTTTTTTCTTCCTTTTATGTATGAGCACTAGTGATGTCCCGAACGGTTCGCCGAACGGTTTGCGAACCGTTCGCCACGAACCGTTCGCCACGGACTCATCATTGAGTAAACTTTGACCCTGTACCTCACAGTCAGCAGACACATTCCAGCCAATCAGCAGGAGACCCTCCCTCCCAGACCCTCCCACCTCCTGGACAGCATCCATTTTGAAGCTGCATTCTTAGTGAGCTGTCCAGGAGGTGGGAGGATCTGGGAGGGAGGGTCTGCTGCTGATTGGCTGGAATGTGTCTGCTGACTGTGAGGTACAGGGTCAAAGTTTACTCAATAATGAGTCCGCGGCGAACTGTTCAGCGAACTGTTCGGGACATCACTAATGAGCACATTGCAAAAATCCCCCTAGGGAATATCTATTTATTTTTTATTCTCCACCACTTAATTAGGATATATCACCAGTGTGGGTGTAATAGATTTTATACACACATATCCCATTACTCTGCAATGATCACTTTATCTTGTGTTTTGTTGTAAGTTGGATTTTAGCCTTTAACATGCTGGAGATTATATCATCTCCTTTGTAGCTTTTTTGCAAGCAGTGCCCTGTCTTTCAAGTATGTAGTTTTTAACTGAGACAATACTGGACTATCATGTCTCCTATTTATTCTTTTATATAATATACACAGTGTGTGTGTATTTTTTAAGGAGAGTGTGTAGACTACTTACATGACAATAAGAGTATTTTGAATTAGAAATTACAGCACTGGCATGGATTATAATATGAGTACAAACTAGAATAGAAGGAACAGCACTCAATGCATGGGCTGTGGTAGGGTGCTCTTGGACTGAGGGGCTAGCACCATCCCACAGGGTAAATCCACAAGTAACTTTGTTCACATAGACTTCCTACACTGAGTTACAGAGTGCTTGGACCTTACTTCTCTCTTGTGGATTATAATATAAGACATAATAAATGTTTAGGAAAAGAACTGTAGATGAATAAAGCTTTTTTCATATAAAATTAAGCAATTAGGAGAACCAAAGAGGTACTTGATTAAATATATCTTTGAAAGTGCTAGAAAAATTTTGAGTAAATTGAGATGATTGAAAATGGAACACATACGCAACTGTTAGTAAACCTGGAATAAGAAGGACATTTTTTTTTTGTTTGAATTTTATTCTAATTTAGTTAACTGGTTAAAGCAGTGCAAGTAAAAGACACAGAACTGTAGTGGATAAATAAATTGAGGTTCTAAAACAATAAAAATAACAATAGAAACAATAAATATAACAAAGTTGTATATAATCAAATAACTTAATTTTGGCAAAGAGTGAAAGCAATTGAAAATGAAGAATGAAATGATGTGTTAACTTTCTCTCTATGGCTATGCACTATGTCAAGTTGGGTTAATGTATTTTCCTTGAGCTAGAAATTTAAAGAGCTCTTATGTCAATTTCTGTTAGAAATATATAAAACTCACCTTTGAACAAATGTATTTTGAGATTTTGACAGGTCATTATAAAGGTCATTTGATGGCCACCCAGAAGGCTTTCAGAGGATTAGATTTGACTTTTAGGTGTTAGTAAGATAGACAACTACGTGTGTTACATCCACAACAGATACTTGAAAAATAAAATATATTCTAAATGAATTGCTAGGAATAGATAAGTAGACATGACCCTAAAAATAACCATGGTTATTATGAGTAAGTATTTATCTGCATGATAACAAAACTGAAAGACATGGATAAAAGTTACTTTTATTAGAAATAACTATTATTAAGATGTAAATATTGCTATAAGAATAATCTATAGGAATGCCAATTTAGTAAAATATATTTTTTAATTATTAAGAATAGCCAACGATAGAAAATAAAGTGTCTATGGAATGTTATTTAATGCTAACAGTGAAATTGTAGGAATAATATGACCCATTAAAACTTTATGTACTCTTTGAAAGCAGGGGTGAGCTTGTATTTCTAGCAAACTTGCAGGTATTGCATCAGTGACTACTGCCTCCAATTAGAACTATGTGCCTGTCTATAGGCTCACAATCAGAACTAGAGTATAAATGAGGATAAGTGAGGCTTTATGGATTGGATTTTATTCTCAAAAATCATGAAGATAAAAATGTTTATACTGGATTTATGCAGTGAACTGGTTAACAGTGACTTATGTAGATAAATAATAATTTGGAAACTTTTTCTTACAGTATAGAATCAGTTGGAAAGTTTATTAGATCAAGACTTTGGTTAGTCCATACCGCAATTAGTTTCACCATATAGCTGATATTACTGGACAAGGTATGTGTTCTACCACTGGGTAATTTTTATTTATTTCCATGCGAATGAGAGATTTAGAATTTTGTAATAAGCAGAGTTGTCGAAACTGGAATGACTTCTGTTTTATCTCTTAAACACACAATTCTTCTGTACAGCATATTGAATGTTTTTTTTCTTCAAATAATACCTATTAATAATGTAATGTTACATCCAATTTTTTTTTTTCTATTCTTTTATTTTTATAAAGCTTGATTCATAGACAAAGATATTTATACATATTTTTTGGCACCTTCATTTGTTCAGAAAGAAAATGAGACAGATTTAATAGTTGTCTTATGAAAGCCTGCTATATAATTAGTCTTTTCAGTCTATGAGCAGGGACAGGACATCACAGTCGTGATCCTAACACAGTTTAGATTCTACACATCAATGATTCAATGCTTTCTTTGCTTAGAGGCTTGGCAGACCTACCCATCGTGTTTTCTGATAAACAGTAACCCCCTCAGTCACTTATCAAAGGGAGGAACAAGTTCCTTCAATACATAATGATATTTTTTTATTACATTTTATTTTTACAGTTTTTCTTTATTTATGCTCACCTCCGTCTTAGCAGGAGCCTTCTGTGCAAAAATAGGATTCACACGTCTCAGACAGTTCATTATGGCTTATTCAATAGGAAGATTGAAGGGAAACCTAACAGTGTTTCTTAATTTAAGAACAAGCAGAAGCATGCAGAAATTAAGGTTCATTGTTTCTTTTCTTTACTCGCTGTGTGATAAAATAAGTATTGCCATTAATTTGTTTCAGAGAATCATTTTTCATATGGTGCACTTAAAAATGTTACTTGAAATGAGCTAATGTAGGTGCAAAAGCTGTATTGAGTGAGACACTTATGGTTTTATTCTAAACTGCTTTATAATACAGTAAATTACTCCAGTTATACAGTAAGTGGGAACTATAGCGGAAACATGCTATTTGTGCTGTTGGTTAGACCAATAAGGAATCAATCGCATAGCTGTCCTGTCATGTGTTCAAATGAGACGGAATATATGTTTTTAATTTGCCGTATAAACAGTATAGTGTTCACCAAGTAAAATGTAATATTGAGAGATGATAAATATTCTGGAGGTTTGCTGGAGCCGACACTTCACCTGAAAATACTTTTTATTCAACATTGTAGTATAAACACTGTCTTTATATATGCCGACAATGCAATAATCCTCACAAACAAAGCAAACATATTGCAGTATAAGCTGTATTGCATAAAGAAGGCTGAGAGATGGGTTACTGAAAATAACTGTTTTAAAATCATATCTTAATGGTATTTGATAGAAAGCATACATTTCTAAACATAAACCCTCTCCACTAAAATATATAAACGATAACCTTGCTCAGTTAGCCCCCTATCATTTCAATGTAATAACTTTTAAATATAATCCAAACATTATTTTAAAATAAATGCTTTGTTCATGCACAAATCACTTTTAACCACATTACAGCAACATTATTAAACAATAATATATTTTTCTATATAATATCACGTTGACATTTAGTTAAAACATTCTAAAAATAAGCACACACATAACACATAAAGGCCACGTTTATATCAAGCATGTGTAATTATACAGACTTTGTAAGAGGCTCTTACAGCCTAAAATGTGGTAATAAAGTTTTACTTACAATGGTTGCTATAGAGTACACCTTGTACTTAGCACTCATCTATGTCAGATGTTTTATATATTCAGTGTTGCAGAATTGATACAATTGTTTTCTACCTACATTTTGGGGTTAGGGAGATGACCATTTTTAACCCTACACCTCGAGTACTAAATGTGGAACTCCACATTAATCACATATGATCCTTTTACAGTTAAAAAATAAATAAAAAATAAATGAGAAATAAAAATGGTGAAACATTACAGAATTTTTATTTTTATTCATATCCAAGCAGCAAACTCTAGACAAAATGGCTGGCCAGGTACAGGTCAAGAGCATAAGCTGCAATAACTGCTGTGGGCTGGTCTTCTCTATTGTGGATTCCTTCTCGCAAGTGCTGGGATGAAGTGACCTGAGAAAAGGGACACTATAGTCACCAGAACAAATACATGTTATTGAATTTGTTCTGGTGGCTATAATCATTCCCTTCAGGCTTTTTGCAGTAAATGCTGTCTTTTCAAGGAAAATGCAGTGTTTACATTAAAGCCTAGTGATAACTCCACTGGACACTCCTCAGATGGCTGCTAGAGGTGCTTTCAGGGGCAGTGCTGCACAGTGTGACTGACATTCAGTATCTCCTCCCTCTGAATGGAGACACTGAACTTTCCTCATAGAGATGCATTGAATCAATGTATCTGTCTTAGGAGATGCTGATGGCATGTGCTGGCTTTGCCCTTGATCTGCCTTCTTGACGAGCTTAGCCAATCCAATGTGAAAGCATTGTGATTGGCTCAGAACCCAGCTTCTGATGATTTCAGCCAAGCAGAGGCCTGGGGTCTTCAATAAAGGTAAGATTAGACTAGATGGTGTTTTTAACACTCTAGGATCAGGAATACTTGTTTGTGTTCCTGACCCTATAGGGTTCATTTACGTGCTGCAGTGTGTAAATTGAGGATTGCCCCTTGCTACTCAGTTTGCACTAAGGACTCCTGATAGGCCTGAAACTGTTTTGCTTTGGTAGCCTTGAGTGTCATGCAAAAGCACCTCAATTGCCATGCATGACACACAGTGTTATAGGTTGCTGACCCCTGGTCTAGACTTACAATTGATTGACAGGTAAGTATAAAAAACTTTTTCTACTTAAAACCTATACATGTCTTGGCATTTCTGCTTTTTAATGTAATACTAAATTGTGTGTGCCAAGACTCTCTGTAAGTCAAGAATGTTCTAGAATAGAAATTGTTGAATTATTTTATATTTTTATCTCTCAGGCTAACTTGTTTGCTAAGGAATTTACCAATTCTACCACCAAACCAAAAGTTCTGATGCTAGAGTGTGGACATATTGTTTGTTGTTTTAGAA